CTTGTTTAGTTCTTCCTGTTCCTTCCTCTTTGCTTTAGATTTTAAGTCTTTTAGTATTTGTTGTAGTGGGGGACTAAGTAGTAACGAGTTTCTGAAGATTTAATTGGTTTGTTTTTGCTTCTTCACTTTTGGGAAGTTCTCTTTATTTCCTTGGGTAGTTTCTTATTTGTTTTTCTTCACCTTGTTTGATTCCTATGACTTTATATTCCTTTAAGTGTTTCTTCATTTTTTCATTTTATACCTGTTTTTCCTCTTCTTTTGTGGTTTTTTTTTTAATGTCTGTATCTTTAGCGTACTGATTTATTCTTCCATTTCATCTATGCCTATTTTCTTGGCTGTGTCCAGAGTTATTTAGCTCCCCTGTTGATTTTTTATACATGGTACAGCTCTTTTATTTTCTTATTTAAAGATTTAATATCATTATTTTGTTCACTGATTATATTTTTCATATTCTTTACCTTTTATTCAAGTTTTTTTAAAAATTATAGTGATTCTGAATTTTTTTGTCTGTCATGGAGAGAAATTCTTTCTTGTCGACATTGTTGGTTTCTGGCGGCTGACTTCCTTTTAGGGGTGATTGTTTCCTGAAGGTCTTAGTTGACCACTTGTATTTTCCTTTCTCCCAGTTGTTTGACTTCAGATTTGCTATGCAAACAGGGCCATCATGTCCTTGGTATTGGTAGGTATTACTTCAGGGTACATCTACCAGGGATCAAGACTGAGAGCTAAGCTGGGTCCAGCATAGTCACACCAAGGTTGGCGAGGACTTCGATGCCCTGGATGGACAGATGTGAGCTCACCTTTGAAGTAATTCTGTCTCTGAGTGATGCGGCTTCATGCCAAGGTGTACACCTTCACTCACAGGGCCAGCCCAGGCCTACATTGTGGCACTGGTCTTGGTGAGAATTTGGATGCTGTGAGCAGACAGATACATGCTCTCACTGGAGGTTTCTGAACCTCTGTGTACTCTTATTAAAGTTTCAATCTTGTTCTTCTGTGCCTTGATTATGCCTCTCATAACATTCTTTTTCTTTTCTGCATTTTGTATAGTTCATTTGTTTTTCTGTTTTATTTCTTTGAATTTATTAATTATGGCAATTTTGAATTATTCATCTGACAAGAAGAATTTCTCTGTCCGTGTTATTGGGTTCTGCAGTTTGATTTTCTTTGTGGTGTGCTGTTCTCATGAGGGTTTCCTTGGGAGTTTGTATTTTTCCTTCCCCCACTGTTTGCTTGGGTTTATCTGCTGTCTTTTGGGCTTTTATTATGTATCAGTTCTGTTTCCCTTTTTTTCTGGGGTAGTGCTGAAGTCCCCTCAATGCTCCCTCAGGCCTTGCCATACCAATGCCTAGATTGATTGGCATGTGTCGTTCTGAATCTAGAGACTTGAGTTTTGGGGACCTCACCTCTCAAGGCCTTTTTCAGGTGGCCAACAGGGCAAGGATTTATTGAAACTTACTAAGGGTAGATGAGGGTTGATGATATAGGACACAGCCTTGCTAGGCTCAGGCTTGGAACTGGTCTGAGAACAGGGACTGGCAGGCTGAATGGAATGTCCTTCATGGTTTAGCTGAAGGTCTGTGGTAAATAGCTTACGTGGTTGCAGGTTGGGCCTGTGCCGGCACCTGAGGAGCTTGTGGCCACTGATAGGGTCACCTGTGGATAAGGGAGAGTCCCAGATGTAGGGCACAGCTCTGCTAGGTCCGGGCTTGCACTCAGTCTTGGTATGTGCCCTTTATATGAAGAGTTCTCTGTTCCAGTAAGTTCTGTCCTAGATTGTTTTTAGATGTAGCTACGGCTCCAGATTGCTTGGCACAACTGAACAACCCCACCTCACCCTTTTTTGCTCAGTTCTTAGTATGGCAAGCCTGATGGCAACTAGTCAAGCTACACTTCTCCTCTTCTGAAGACACAGAAGCTAGACACTCCAAGTCTGAGCCCAGTTCCATGTCCTCCACTCACTCAGAAACCTTACATATCTCAGCCTTCCCTCTTGAACCTCCCAAACATGTCATACCAACCCTGCCCATTCTTCTCTTCCAGAATTTCACCAAGATGTCATCCAAAATTTGGCCCATACCGCTTCCTTCCCCCCATCCCATATCACTACCATCAGCCTATTAATCTTGTCAACTACAGTTGCCACCTGTGTAACCTTCCCAGAGTTGTCCAAATTCAAATCTGTAAAAAAAAAAAAAATCAGTTTTGACAATTTTTTTCCCCGATGGTTTATATGTCCTTTGAAAAAGTCCTGGTATATTTAGATTTTATTTAAAATGCAATGGTACCTATTGGCCCTCTTCTGTTCTTGCTATGATGATGTTTCTGAACTATTGAAATAATATTTTGAAATACAAGTGTTCCACAGCACATATTATGAGCTAGATTTAGGACCAAGAATGAAAAAACTAGGCAGGAACTGGACTACAAGGAAAATGCATTCTAATTTCAAAGATGAAATGACATGAGAGTTGTCTGTAATGGCTAAAAGGCAGGTGAAACTTTTTCACACATACAAAAGGACACTAAAAGTAACACAGAAGGTGGGGAAAATTGATTAGCTTCCTTCAAACTGCTCATCCTCCAGGTATATGGTTCTGCAGTATATTCAGCAACAAGGATAGCAGGTCAAAGACAGTTTGCTACTGATACAGAACGACTGTGGGTTCTTGAAAAATTATGAGAACACAGCGAAGGTTTGATATATGAGTTTGACCAAAAAAAAAAAAAAACCCTCATATTCTGCTTATAAGTCAATATGAAATCCTTTCTTGAAGAAGAGAAAGGCACAGAAAAGAGGTATGTAAGTGCTACTTAAAATAACAGATTTTCAAATTCAGGGTAGTTTTCAAATTGGGTTACAAATGCAAGCCAGGATGCAGGATCAATGTGTGATGTTATTTTACTTAGACAAACAGAATTCTGTGCTATCCAAATATTTTTTTATTCAGTTCAACATAAAAGTATAGATCCAGATAAATATAGGAAAAAATATCACAAATTCAATGAGAAAAAAGGAGGCTTTGATTATACAGGAAAGAGCATCTGTCTTAACCATATACCAGGGCTGACAAACATCAGGCTGCTGCTGACATTGACAAACTTTTCGCTGACATGGGAAGTAGTGAATATTACACCTGCCCAACTGATTTTAAAGCCTCCTCCACCAAACTAAACAGTATCAGTTACAAGCATTACTGTTGGTATAGATAAAGAATGACTTTGAAAAGCAACAAGTATGAAGATGCAATTTAAATTACCAGGATATTGGTGAGGAAGAAAAGTAGGATCAAGAAATTTCTCTGAAGAAATATATGCCTTCATTTGAACTTCCTGAGATAACCAAAGATTGCCACCCCCAGCCACTTTTATTATTTTTCTTCCCAGAGTAGAAATAAAGTTCAGGAAAAAAATTAATAGAGATTTTCAAAGCCCAAAAGTGCTGAACAACAGCAGAAAATTCAAGTTCAGTTCTGAAAAATGAAAGTTTTTTGGAGAATTTACACATTTTAAATTTATATTACATATACACAAAATATAGTTTGTAATAAAAATAGTTTTGTTAGTTTCTTATTTTGGAAAAATTGTATGCTATATTTGGGGGGACTGAGAAACAGACACTGAATATTTATAACCAAAATGTTTTAATCCCAAAATATGCTGTCAACTTTGTCTTTGTTTTATAAAGAAATAGCATCTACACTTTTCTTGAAGAACTTTTTGCATGTTCTTTTTGCATTCAACCTAAATATATACAGTTTTGCATGAGTAATAATGACCATTACAAAAAATGTAAACTTTTCAGTTGATTTACAATTATATGGAATTAATCAACTGTATTTTAGAGGCATTTTGCATCCCTTAGCATTGAAAGTTATGAAACTAAATAAATCTAATATATTTTATCCTAGGTATTTCCTAACAATTTCTAGCACAAAAGGCAGAAATCTGATATAGCTATGCTTAAATCTGATAGAGAAGTTTATTTATAAAAGATATTAAAGGGAATTCTGAAATTAGAAAAGCAGATGCTGAAATGTTTATTGTTATTTTTAATTTTTAGCAAAAAACAATACTTGATAACTCTTTGATCCCAACAGCAAGCACACAGGACCAAGTTCAAACACCTAGAAAGTACACAGAGGGCATTTTGCTCACCCTTTTTTTTTTTTCCACTCATAGCCCCAGTAAAGATAAATTGTTTCAAAATTTCCTATCATTCTCCTAAATAATACATTTGCTTCCCCCCTCCACCCTCCATTGTTGCGATAAAGTTTTTTCTCCAGTTTATAACCCCAGCAAATCCCTATTTTTCAAAACTAGCTCAAAAGAAACTCACTTTTCAATGCTTTTCTCCAAGAATGTTCCGCCATTGCTTTGGCAATCCTAAACACATTTCACATCAAATATCTGTTTTATGTGTGTTTTTCACTAAACCTGTCAATATTCTCAGCACCTAAAATGGAACTTGTCACTAGCATTTTTTGTGTTTTTTTCAATTAAAGTTTGAACATAAGATACAAATGAGATCCTAAAAGATAAAATGTGTCCTTTAAAGAGGGACATTTTAATCTTCAGGCTTTAATCTTCACACTCGGGTTATCTTTATGCATATATACCTCCTATTGGTGCATATGCACTTCTCAGCCCCAGCTCTATCCTGTATTTTATAACTTATACGCCACCATTCACACTAATGTATGAGCATACTCTCCAGTAAACAGAACTCCTTTTCTCATAAAATATGTTCTCCCTTTCTTACCTCCATGTCATTGTTCTTAGGATTTCTAATTTCTGCTCTAAATGTACAACTTTATTGTCTCCAAGTAGTTTTTCCAGTTGTATTTAAGTTCTGTCTCCTTTATACAAAGTTTTCACTTTATTTAGTGCCAATCTTATAGCAATAAAAATAAGTGTGTAACCTACGAGGCAGGCTAGTCTTAGAGATTAATGAAGGTCAATCAGGTTAAGCAGTGTTCCAGAATCAGAGCAACAGTAATTTAAAGGTCAAAGAGGGAGAATATCACATCAGGTTGGCTCATACACTCCTGGATGCTTTCCTTTCGAGCAGAAGCTAAGGCTCGAGTCTCTTCCTGAAAACGGCGGTGTCCCTCCTCAGTAAGCCTCCAAAGGCCAGACCGTGCCTTTGTAGTGACCCCATCCTGAAGGTTGATTGGAGCCTTCTCAAAGCTACCCAAGAAGCACAGGTTGTGGCGGATAGTGTTCTTCCAGCCATCTGGAGCTGTCCAGAAAAAGGGGAAATGCTGTCGGGTGAAATTGTAGATTTCCTGCACATTCAGGCCACATGGGGGGCTGTTTCTTAACGCCAAGGCAATCAGGTGACTATAGTTGAGGGGAGGTCGTGACCAGGACCTCTTTTCCTGGCTGTTACCTTGCCTTAGCTTTTGGCCCTGGAAGCTCTCCTCTTTCTTAGAGAACTGGGGGACCACAGAGGAACTGCCATCTTGTCCCTCAGTCTCCTCTTCTGTGATCTGCCAATTGCTGGGGAAATTGGTGAACTGCTTCTGCAGGGGCGACTGCTTGCTGGAGGAAGATGGTAGCAACTCCATCACTGTGGTCTCTGGGTAGTTAGACTCTTCATCCTTTGGGAGTGACTGAGGAGAAGGGAGTATGCTTGTTACATCCTTTTTGTTACCATGGCTTGGGGCCTCCTGATTGCCAACAGGGCATACAATATTAGGATTCACCCACATCCATAGGTTGGGTTCAGAGTCAGGACCATCGTCATCAGTACTGGTTTTCCTTCCTTGAGTCACTTTTGGAGGCTCCATTACTCTCAGTCTGTATTTGGCAAGATTTTGCTCCGCTAAGGGGTGCTGGTCTGTGGTACAAGGCAGAAAGAATTCATTCCCCATGTCCCAGTCCAGCATGCCTGGGACCTGACCATGAAAGCTGTACCAGAACTCAGGATTTTTTAGTTTTAGGTCCATTTTGAGTAGACAAAAAGGAAGAGGGAGACTTCCAAACAAAAGATACCTCTCAGGCACTTTTCAAAGCAGAAGTACTGTTTTTGATGTAGTAGAACTCATCTAGGCAGTTTATCAATAAGCTTGATAGAGATACTGGGAAATTTATACCAATTCTTCATGGACGAGTGGCCAGACTTAGAGAAACCCCGGTGTCCTGGAACAGAGTTTAAAAGTATTAACAGTTAATGTTACTATTATTATTAAGTTTATATAAAGACCACTCTGTCAGTCTGCATGGAGCGTATTCCAGATTCAAGAGTCTATTTTTTGCTTTCTTTTCCAGCTAATTTATCATTTCAGCTTTTTTCCTTCATACTTCACATCCCAGAAACACTGAACTTCTGAGATTTTCATGTTACATATATATACTGCTATTTGCCCAGGGTTTTTTGCTCAAGCTGATACCTCCACATGGAATGACCTTATGTTAACAACTGTCAACTCATTTTTTTAAGACTCAAGGAAGTCTACTATAACAAAAAAAAAATGCTGATTCCACCTCCCCATATAGAATTAAAGAATCTCCTTCCAAGTAGGGCAATGACCTTGTCAAAACAAGGAACCAGTTGTGAAGTACTCAGTTTTTTGTGCCAACCCCAGAGAGCCTGGCAACATTTTAACTTTCAGTAGTCCCTTATCCCACAGTCACACCAGAACATATTATTGAAACTATCAAATTAGATCATGTATATCATTAATTAATGTATAATATATGCCAATACCTAGTTTTAGTGTTTGCCTGATATAATAAGTTCCATAAATATAAGCTTGTATTTATGTTATTTTTAAAGGTTTCTCTTAAAAATCAATTAACAAACAGAAATCACACTAGGAAACAAAAAAAGATTTATTTTAATGACTATTATGAAATGCTTATTTAGTTTATAATTTTTTTTAAAGATTTATTTATTTATTCGTACAGAACTGGGGTACAGGCCAGAGATGCGGAGGGTGAGAGGATTCATCAGAGACAGAGTGGGGTACAGAACAGGCAGATCGACAAAGTACACTGCTGAGGGGAGCAGCGGGCGGGTCAGGAGAGGTCTGCCACACCATGTGGACACCCATGGGGCAGGCGGGGGGGGAACTCATGCGGAAGTGGTTTAAGCTCCTTTGTGCTGTGCTTTAACCTGCTGCGCCACCAGGGAGGGCCCTAGTTTATAATTTTTTGAATTTATTTTTTTACTTATTTATACATATAAGACTGGGGTGTAGGCTACAGATATGGGGGGTGAGAAGATTCACCAGAGACAGAGTGGGAAGCAGAACAAGCAGATCTATTTAAATACATTGCTGAGAGAAGCAGTGGGAGAAACAGGAGAGATCTGCTGCGCTATGTGGGTTAGCTTCCGGACTGGGGACTGAACTCACGTTGCAGTAGCCAGTGATGGCTTCATAGTGCTAAGTCTTTAACAATTGCACCCTCAGGGAGCTCTCTAATTTAGAATTCTTGAGACTGTATTTTGACTCACAGTTTGGTAGCTAATCTGAGCTCAAAAAATCAATCCCACAAAATTTAGATTCTTAATTTGTTAAAGCTTGGAGAGTACTAAACTTATGGAAGCAAGCATCTCTTCATTTAGGATACTTTTCCAAGTGTGCTAAAATACTTCCAAGTGTTGTTGGAACCCTTGTTTGTTGCTATATATTCCTCATTTTTCTCTCTAAGCATTCAATTCAAGTGACTGACATAGGAGGCAAACTCTTTACAAGACAAAAACAAACAAATAAACCATAAAAACAAACAGAAATAGTGTTGAAATAGCCGTGTCCTAGAAGTTTACACAGTTTAATACAAAAAAGTTCTACAATAAGGTTTTAGTAATTATCAAAGAGAACATACTGAATTTAGGAAGATTAGATTCATGATCCTAAGTACAGTGTGCTTTTCATACTATCTCAGTTGCTTTTTATGGCAAGTTACACACACATATATATATTTAAGCTAGGTCAATATGCACAGGGATTTCACATACTTTTCTAACTGTCCTCTTTGTTTCAAATATATGAAAATAATGAATAATATTACATAAGGGGATGAGATAAAGAACAGCTAAGTTCAATCTAATACAAGAAATAAAATATTTCATTAGATAAGAAACATAAACTTGTGAGTAGATTTGAAGCCATTGGTTTGCTGGCCTCTGCTTACCAAGCAGGACCTGGAAGTCAAGAATTTTGCTTCTCTGGGAAAAATGAATCTAAACGTTAAGGAGTAGGATGGGGTGACTTCTACCTATGAAAAGAACTGAAAAAAATAATGATGATAAAGCCCAGCAAATACAGGTCTAAAAAAACAGTCATAGATAAAGCATTGCAACCAGATACTAGGGAAAGCTTCCCACTAGCTACTGAAATTGGTTCTTTAGATCTCTAAGCTCTGTGGTGTACTTAGTGATATAATTAGGGAATAACTCAGAAGCACCATTTTGAGATCTGGTGTTAGTTTGAAGGTCAAAGGGCTGAAAAGAAATAACCAAAAAACCTCCAGAAAGTGAAGCATAAGTTAGTGAATAGAAGTAGAGAACAAAACTTTCCACTTAAGGTGTAAATTGAAATTCCAGAATATATGAAGAAATTTAATAACAAACTGTTACTTAAATTTTTAACTCACTCCAGATACCAATGAAATTATGGAGCCCCCTAGAAAACAAAACAAGTATGTTTAGGATACTCAAAGACATAAAGAACTAACATTTAAATGTACACAATGAAAGGAATTGTCAGATAAACTAAAAGGAAATAATTTAAAATTCTGGATATGAAATATATCAATGGAAAATTTGAATTTGGAATAGATGAGATAAACTCAATTGGACATAGTCAAATTGTAAATTGATGAACTAGAAGATATAGTACTGAAAAACTCATTCAGCAGGTAACAGACGGTAATAAAAAGATAAAAAAATAAAAGAAGAGTTAAAATACATGGAGGATATATTCATCCAATAAATAAGTTTCAAAAGAGTGTGAATAACATGCTAAAGAACCAATCACTAAAGATAAATGAATAATTATCTTCTAGTTTTGAAGAAAAACATGAACTATCAGATCTAGAGTCCACTGAGGAAGATAAATGAAAATCAACCACTTCTAGATACACTGAATAAAATCTTATAATGTCAAAAATAAAGTGTGAGGAAAGATGTGTGTTTGATACAATGACAGCATTGCTGACGTGGATGCTGGTTTTGAGTCAACTTTCAGAAGCTGTGAGAAGCCATTAGTACCTTCTGCCCTTGACACATTACTCATTTGAAATAATCCTCATTATTTCTAAGATTATTTCAATTGCAATATGTTACTGAGATGATTAAACTTTGTTCCACAGTCACTAGGATACATACTTCAGAGTGTATATCTAGAAAATAATTAACCTCCCACTGTCCTAATGCAGTGCAAAAGCTGTATGTATTGGTGTCTATACAATCTGTGTATGGAGTAAGTTAACTGCGGAAGCTAAGATTTAAACTGATAAAGCCAGAGTAGAAACACACTAGCTTACTTTCAATAGGAATGACACTTCACAATATAGGCTGGTTTGGGTGAAAACTAGATTTGAAAAACTGAAGAAGGAGATTCAGATGCCATATTTCATTCTATTCAAGTAATCACAACTCTTTCACATGGACAACTGTTTCAGCTGGGACTATTTTTTTTACACATTGTTGTGTATAAGCAATGGACTCTGACTGAAAAGCTGCTGAGAATTGCTTGTAGGAAGCCTTTTCACAATTACTTTTTAAATTGAGAAATAGTTTATATACATTAAAATGTATAGAATATACACATTTAATATGACCAATTTTGATAATTGTATACACCCACATAACTACCATCCAAAACAAGATGTGAAAAAATTCCTGTCACCTCAGTGGGTTTTCTCATCCCTGTTTTACTTAATCTTCACTGAGTTTTGCAACTACGTTCTGTCTTCTATCACAATTCATTAGTTGTGTCCACATATCTTGTGTAAAAATAATTATATAATAATATTAGTAATAATAATAAAGCTACAATTTTGATAATTTTAAGAGCCACTGGAAGGAAAAAAAATCTTTTTAAAGTGATATCAGCTAGCCTGGAGGAAGATCATAGAGGTTGTTAGAAATATTTACAAATGTTGAAATGAAAATCAGTATAGGTCGTTGTACTATACTAACCAAAAAAGTCAAAGTAAAGCCATTTTCAATCTTTAGTTAAACAACAACATAGTGTTTATACATATACAAGTTAAATGATGTATTTTAGAAATAAAAAGTTAGTCAGAAAGATAACATGAAAAAAGAATTAATGATAAGCAAAGCAACTGATAAATTATTTAATATGACTTCAAGAGTATATGAATTAATGTCTGTATTTAAATGGGCAAACTAAAGTTCTATCCAAAATAATGAGTTCACTTTGTAGTTCAAGCATTCTAAAGTCACTGCTGTATTTTGGAGTGTAGAAATATTCAATAATTGAAGACTTTCTTAGAAAATTTTAATTTAATTATATATGTATCAAAAAGTTCTAAGTTCAAAGGTAAGGGTGTAAATATAGCTTATAGCTTCAAAATCAGCAGAAATAATAGAAAAACAAAGATGCCAAGAAGCTGATATTAAACGGAAAATAAAAAGATGGCATAAATGAGTAAAAATAATTATAATCTCATTATCTTCACCTAACAAAGATAAGTCTGCCATAATCATTTTCTCTTATAACCCAGTTATTATATTTATAAAGGCTACACCTGAAACAAAACCACACCATAATACTAAAATATAAAGAACAAAAATGAAAAGAATACCAAAATGTAAGTAGTGGGGAAATGTTAATATCAAAGAAAGAGCATTAAAGTCAACAGCATAAAGAATAGTGACATTCTTTAATAATAATATAAAAGTACCATGGACTGGGATGCATGTCACAATGTAGTAACTAAACAAGTAAGGTAAAATCTGATAAAATTAAAAAGA